TTGGGAGGTTTTTTTGGTGTTTTTTTTTTTTTTGAGTTGGAGTCTCACTCTGTTGCCCAGGATGGAGTGCAGTGGCACAATTATGGCTCAATGCAGTCTCAACCTCCTGACTCAAGCAATCCTCCTGCCTCAGCCTCCCAAGTATCGACTGCAGGTGCATGCCACCAGGCACAGCTAATTTTTTGATTTTTTTATAAGGACAAGGTCTTGCTATGTTGCCCAAGCTGATCTCAAAAGCCTGGGTTCCAGCAATCCTTCCAGTTTGGCCTTCCAAAGTGCTGGGATTACAGATGTGAGCCACCACACACAGCCAAGGAGAGAAGTTCTGACACATGTTGCAACATGGGAGAATCCGGAACATTATGCTAAGCGAATGAAGCTAGACTATGATTCCATCCATATGAAATGTCCAGAGTAAGCAAATCTATACAGTCAGGAAGCAGCTGAGTGGTTGCAGGCAGTCTTGGGGAGGGGAAGATGGGAAGTGGCTGTTTAATGGGCACAGGATTTCCTTTTGGGATGATAGAAAAGTTCTGGAACTAGGTAGAGGGTGATGGTTGCACAGCAGTGTGAATGTACTTAGTGCCAGTGAATTGTACACTTGAATATGAACTTTATGGTATGTGATTTTGGGGGTTTTTTTGTTTTTGTTTTTGTTTGAATCAGAGTCTCACTCTGTCACCCAGGCTGGAGTGCAGTGGCACACTCACGGCCACTGCTGCCTCGACCTGCTGGGCCCAAATGAACCTTCTGCCTCTGCCTTCCAAGTAGCTGGAACTACTGGCACATGCCACCACCCCCAGCTAACTTTTTGTGATTTACTGTAGAGACGAGGTCTTGCCAAGTTATGCGGGCTGGTCTCGAACCCCTGGCTCAGGCAATCCTCTTGCCTCGACCTCCCAAAGTGCTTGGACTACAGGCTGAAGCCACCGTTGTGTATTTTAACTACAATTTATTTTATTTCTAATTGGTGAATGAATATTATATATACTTATGGAATGCAATGTGATGTTTGGCTATGCCTATACCTTGTGGAATGAAGACATCAAGCTAAGTAGCATAACCACTTCACATACTTGTTTTTTGCAGTAAGAACATTTAAAATCTGCTTTTTTGGCAATATTGAAATATATGATACATTATTACCAACTGGACTCACCCATGCTGTGCTTCTAATGGAAACTCTGTACCCTTTGAACAATATCTCCCCATTCCCCACCACATCCACCATCACAGCCAGCACTCACCCACACAAGCCATGTGGGGGCCTAGGGACAGGTGTGCCCAGCCCATTGAAGACTCTGCTCATACCAACACATGCAAGCTGGGAGCCTGAGGGTTGTCCTGCCACTGGCCCTGCCATCACCTATGGCTGCCCAGAGTCCCCAGGAGTGTCTTACCTGCCTAGCCACTACTGTCATTGTCAGCATGCAAGCAAGCTGGCTGGAGATCCCAAGCAAGCCCACTTGGACACACTGACACTAGAGCCCACGGACGCCATCTAGGGGCCAAAAAGGCACACTCAGCTGGCTGCTGCCACCACTGGAGGCCAAGGACAGGCCCAACTGATGTCCTCATACTCAGCAAAACCTCATCACAACCTCTGTTAAAGGCCAAGCATTGTGACTCACGCCTATAATATCAGCACTTTGGGAGGCCAAGGCAAGAGGATTGCCTGAGACCAGGGGTTTGAAACCAATCTGGGCAACTTGATAAGACCTTGTCTCTGCAATAAGTCACAAAAACTCGTCGGGTATGGTGGTGTGCATCTGTAGTTCCAGCTACTTGGAAGGCTGAGGCAGTAGGATCATCTAAACCCAGCAGGTAGAGGCTGCGGTGGCCGTGAGCATGACACTGCACTCCAGCCTAGGCGACAAGAGTGAGACTCCAACTAAAATAAAAATGCATCTGAAATGTCAACAATAAACTAGATCAAGCAGAAGAAAGGATTTTAGAACTTGAAAACAGGCCTTTTGAAGTAACCCAGACAAGAAAAAGAGGATGAGAAAGACATATGAAGCACCACAAAGCTAACACATTTTAAAATTTGAGATAATTCAGAAGGTGAAAAGAAAGCCAAAATGAAAACCTATTTAACAAAAATAATGGCTGAAAACTTTCCCAAAGCAGTGATAGAATTAGACATTTGGGTACAGGAAGCTCAGATATCTCCAAATAGGTGCAATACAAAAAGATTTTCTCTACCCCACATTTTAGTCAAAACATCAAGAGTAAAAGACAAAGATATAATTCTAAAATTAGTAAGAGAAAAGCACCTAGTCACAAATAAGGGCTCCCACATCAGACTAAAAACAGATCTCTTAGCAGAAATCTTACCGGTCAGGAGAGGATACCATAATATATTCAAAGTGATGAAAGAAAAAAAAATTCAGCCAAGAATACCATACCCAGAAAAGTTATCCTTCACAAATGAAGGAGAAATGAACGCTTTCCCAGACAAGGAAAAACTGAGGGAATTTATCACCACTAGACCAACTCTAAAGAAATACTTATGGAAGTCCTGAATCCACCATCATGAAAACACACGAGGTATAAAACTCATGAGTAAATACACAAGAAAAGAAAGGACTCAAATGTGACTACTACTGAAAACCACTAAACCACAATGATAAGCAATACAAGAAAAGGAACAAAGAGCATACAAGTCAATTAGAAAACAATTAACTAAATGACATGAATAAGTCCTCACATATCAATAAAAACATTGAAGAAAAATGAATTAAATTGTCTACTTAAAAGAAGGAGACTGACTAAATGGTTTTTAAAATAATAATAAGCCAGGCTGGGCACAGTGGCTCATGCTTGTAATCCCAGCACTTTGAAAGGCCAAGGTGAGAGGACTGCTTGAGTCCAGGAGTTTGAGACCAATCTGAAATATATATGCACTCCACTCTGGAGCATTCAGATATATAAAGCAAATATCATTAGTTCTAAAGTGAAAGATAAAATCCAAGCCCCGGCAACATAATGAGATCTCATCTCTTCAAAAACAACAGGAAACTAGCTCAGTGTGGTGGCGTACATCTGTGGTTCCAGCTACTCGGGAGGCTGAGGCAGAAAGATCACCTGAACCCAGGAGGTTGAACCTGTAGTGAGCTGTAATCCATGCCACCGCACT